TGCCCAGATGCTTCTTGAATGTCCCAGTGCTGGGTTTGTCCCCAGTTGCACCAGAGGACACAGGTGCCTGGGCCCCACAGTCACTGGGAGCTGATCAGTGAGGCAGTGGGCCCAGCGTGTCAGGGAGCACCTGCCCAAGGGGACACGGAGGCCAGCCGGGTCCTGTGGGTGCTGGCAGACAAAAGCATGGTGAGACCAGAAAGCCATTTCTCCAGAGAAGCAGCTTTGCCTTCTGCTCACTGCCTCTGGCCTCAGATATTCTCCATACGCTGCTGGAGGATGTGGACAGGCACCACTGTGTTGATCTGCATGTGAGCCCTGCTGCCTGGCACAGTTCCATGTGTAGATGGCTCCTTGCTAAACACCTAACACCAGCCCAAACTCTTCCTTGCAGCTAAATTGGATTAGAATGCAAAAAGATCTTGGCAAGTGGAGGATGGACAGCTGCAAACACACAGAGTGTCGTTCAGTAGGGATCAAGGCAAAGTACTCTGTGCAGGAGCTGTATGGAGGGGTGAACACTTGGCAGCAGCTCTTTACACATCAGGACACTAGTGCTGTGTACCACCCTTGCCCCGAGCCATATCTTTTTAAGAACATGGATGTGGAATTTGAACACAAGCACAGCCAAAGTCTGATCTTGGCTGTGATATGTGGCATGAACAGACACTGAAAATATTGCACAATATCCTCCCTCTTTGTGCATCCCCTATGTTAGGCTTGGCTTTGTTTTTTTTTCCTTTTTGGTGGGTTGATTTTTTTTCTTGCAGCTGCAGGATGGCATCATGAACTCTGCACTTTCTGATCCACTGTGTTTGAAACCTTTCCTGCATGCTGCTGTCCAACCACTCACCCAGGGACCTGCAGAGCTTCTGTCAAGTGCTGAGCTCTCCCAGGCCATTTGTAAACTAGGGCTTTTCACTGCACAGGTCCCCACTGGCATGGGTTTCTGTCACCTGGGGACAAGGCTACAGCAAAGCCACCTACTGGGTTGATATAATGGTTTAGTGGAGCTTCTGTTCTGTGAGTGTCAAACGTTTCTTAGTTTCCTAAGAAACTCCTCTCTACGTTGTGCCCTTTGGAGCACACGTCTCTTCTCACATCCAGTCTGTGAATACAGAAACACATGGGGCCACTTTTCATCTCTCCAGAGTGTCGGAGCTCTGCTCACAGCCACGGTCTCTGCCTGCTGTGCTGTGAAAGTCACCCAGTGCCCCCTTTCTGCAGCAGAGCTATGTGCTCCTTACCAAGGCAAACTCACTCTTGTTGCCCCATTCCCTTTCTGGCAGTCACTCTACACAGGTTAGAAATTCAAGGTCAGAATACTAGTCCTCCCACGGAGCCTGGCTACAGCTCTTTTTCTGGGTGGCTGTGATAGTTTAACTTAGCTGGCAGCCAGACAAGACACAGCCACTCACAGCTTCCCCCCCCTCCCCACTCAGGGAATCAGGGAGGGAATTGGAGGAGTCAAAGTAAGGAGGCTTGTAGGGTGAGATAAGAACAATTTAATAATAAAAAAATAAAATAAACTTAAAATAGTAATATTAATAATAATGATAACTATATATATGAGTGATGCACAGTACAGTTGCTCATCACCTGCCGATAACAATCCCAGAGGAGTAGTAAAAAGGAACCCCGAAACCAAAATTGCAATCCTGGAAAAGTGAGCCTGAGCGATTCCTGAGAAAATCCCCCCCTTTCCCATCAGCTCCAGTTAATATACTGAACATGAATTAATATGATCTGGAATATCTCACTGGCACATCCAACTGTCAGTTCTGGGTTTTGCTACCTAGTGCACTTTCCCCCCCAGTCCTCTGCACTTGCAAACTCCCCAAACACCATGTCCTTATACCTTATCAACATTCTTCTCATAACAGATCCCACACTGAAAACACAAGTGCTTTCTAGCATTTAAGAAGAAAATTAACTCTATCCTAGCAAAAACCAGGACAGTGGCTATGAACAGTTCAGAGGCTTGGCAGCAGTGACACCACCAAGAGAGAGACATCTTCAGCCTCTCGCTGCTCTGCTGCGCTGCCTGAGCAGTGACACAGGGGCAGGGGGCAGCTGCACACACGTGTCTCTCTTTTCTGCCTCTTGCAGCACGGCCTTGAGGACACGGCCACAGAATGCAAAAGGCTGGGAGCTGCTGTTCAGACCTTCGTGGTGGATTGCAGCAAAAGGGAGGAAATCTACTGTGCTGCAGAGAAGGTAGGGGAGCAGGGGCATGTCCAAAGGCTGACCCAAAGAGGTTCGGTTTGCAGAGACGTCAGGAAAAGAAGAGGAGTTGTGCGCAAATCCTGCGAGGCCTTGGAATCTCCCCACTTCTTGCTGCTTCCTGTACAGAGAGTGAAGCAGCATTTCTGAGATCACAGCTGCTGTCATGCTCTTTTGTGAGGCTCCAGAGTATCACAGCTCATTGCCAAGTTTGCTCTTTAGACTTCCAGCCCCTGAGGGAACTTCTGCCTTTTAGTTTCCTGAACAGCACACAGACAACACTGGGGACTTTTGAGACATTTTCTTGTAAAGGATGTGGTCCAGCTGGCTCAAAACAGTCCATACATCCATAGTCCCAGCTGTGACTACACAGAGCATGCTGTGTCTGTAGACAATGTGTGGAAGGCTACAAATACTGACAATAATTAAGGGAGAAGCATCAGATCGAAACCAGATTTCATGGTACTACAACCCAGTTTGTACCACATCTGGAAACATGGCGTGATCTTCCTCTCCCTAAAAGAAACAACATTAAGAATTAAATTAATTGTTGCTCATTTTCCACAGCCTGACATTTTTTTGATAATGAATGACATGCACCTTTCTGTTTATTTTCCTGTCCCAAAGGTGAAAAAGGAAATTGGGGATGTCTCCATCCTGGTGAACAACGCTGGTGTGATTACAGCTGCCGACCTGCTCTCCACTCAGGACCACCAGATTGAAAGAATGTTTGAAGTCAACATTCTTGCTCACATGTGGGTAAGGGTCACTGCCACCCTCAGGCCTGCCATGATAGTCAGAGTCAATGCTGAATATGTCTAAGAAAACATTCTTTTCCTCCTTCCCCACCCCATCTTTCTTGCTTCTTGGTCTCAATGACTCTCAAGACCACAAGAGCTTTTCTGCCAGCCATGATGAACAACAACCACGGTCACATTGTCACGGTGGCTTCAGCAGCAGGTCATTTTGTGGTTTCTTTCATGGTGGCTTATTGGTAAGTGATTTTAAAATCAGCTCTCTTCATATTTTTTTTTTTTTAATTTTTAATTGTAAACACAGAGTAACCACAGTAATCTTCCTACTGAATATGGTGTGTCCAAAAGAAGAGAAAAGCACAACTACCAAGACATATTGGCACCTGCCAATTTGCTTATTAACTCTGTAGACTGTAAGATGACCTTTCAGAAGACAGAAACACGATAATATGGTGTTAGGAGCAATATAACTGAAGCAAGGGATAGGTCAGGGCATTGCCTGTTTCTACTAGAAGCACTTGAATCATGGTGCATGAGCAGAAAATCTGTTAGATTGCATATTGTCATTCTGCATCAGATCTGGCCCTATATCATAGCAGCTGCAGGCAGAGCAATCTCCTCCTGGGAAGATTCCTCAGAGAGTCACTCACTATTGGCAACACGAGAACTCTCCAGAGAGGGATTTTACTGGAATTACACCTCCTAAATCAATAGCAGTCAATAAAGTGATTCTCTGGTCCTACTTTCTTCAGAGTGGATGTGGACTCTTGGCCTGTACCTATTTCTGTGGCAGTACATTCCTCAACTTTTGCCTGCATAACGCTCGGATGCTTCACAATTCACACGTGACTGTCACAAGAGGCTCCTGTGTCGTACAAGAAACAGTAGAGACTTGTCCTCCATTTCTACTCTGCTCATCCTTCTTAATTTTAGATTCAGGCTGCATTCCTTGTAAGAATGGGAAAAATGAGAAGTCCATCATTGGAAGAATAAGAAGTCCATCAATTTATGCACCTTAGTTATAATTTTCTAAGAATTCCTTCGAGTTCATTTGTTTGTTTGCAGCTAAGGTGACATTTTCTGAAAGACACCTGCTCTGTGTTCCACAATTACTTCCCAGGCAGCAATATCT